TCCATTAGTTGATGCTCTGTGTTGTCCGAATCTGCTGGGATAGGGGATGAATTTGGCAGCCTTTTTAAATGTGTTTTAAGCTTGATTAAGTAGAATTTAGCTTGAATTAGCTGCTATGATGTTTTGTGTGAAAAATCCCGTGAGATTAGCTATGTTTCGCTAATTTGGGAGTTGAAGTTACTATTCACGAGGTACTGTTCACTTGGTACTGTTCATAAGCACTGCTCACACACCGAGAGCCAATAATTAACAGAGATTTAAAGGTTTAGTTTGTGATATAAGAATGAATTTGGAGATATTTGATCATGTGGAGATTGATAGGAATAGCATCGGGATTGGGAGTGATTTTAATGATGATTTCAGTTTGAATTTGTGATAGTCCGGTATTAATTCTGAGGTGTTGTGATTAGGTTTTGATCGTTCTGTCACCGTAGCACTTGGGTTAGCCTTCTATTCTGTGCGAGTGAGGTAAGTAAATTATGGTAAAGCCCTCTGATTTTAAAGCATGTTTTAAACTGTTTTTGAGATGGTGGCAAGCTTTAAATTGATTTTATCCGCATCTAAGTGTGATTTAAACCGAAATGGAAATTGTGATGGTCTTTATGAGAATTTCATTGTTTTTCTGGAATTGAGCATGATTGGAATGAAAATGGGAATTTCATTATTTTCTGGGATTGAGCATGATTGGAATGAAATTGTTTTCATTGCATGGAGTAGAGCATGCCTATTTGGAAATTGATTGAACTGTTTTGATGAACTGAGAGTTTGCAAATTTTGAGTTTTCTGTTAAATCCATGCTCACATGGAAATTTTCTGGTTATTTCTGAGATTTGAGATTGATTGTGAATGATGGATTTTTTTGGAAATCCTGCATGGTTTTGTCTCGGATATAGTCATGATTACTGACGCCCGCTAGTGGGAGCTGTAAACGCTAGCACATGTCGACATGTATTTCTGCAGAACCGGTTCACCCTGCCAATGGGGTTAAACATTGGTACTATTATTGACGCCTGCCAGTGGGAGTTTGTAAACACTGGTACTATTACTGACGCCTGCCAGTGGGAGTTTGTAAACACTGGTACTTCTTAAACCCTACCAATGGGGTTAAACATTGGTAATATTACTGACGCCTGCCAGTGGGAGTTTGTAAACACTGGTACTATTATTGACGCCTGCCAGTGGGAGTTTGTAAACACTGGTACCATTACTGACACCTGCCAGTGGGAGTGTGTTAAACACTGGCCATGACTTATAGATGAGACTACTAAACTGAGTTTTATTCTGCATGAACGGTTTGTCATGAAACGTTTGTTATTGAACCGAATTTGATTTTCGCATTAACGGTTTATCAGTGAAAGTTTTGTTATACTTACATGGTTTGTCTGGCATGCTAAAAGTTTTACCCAAGGGCTATCCATATTTACTTACTGAGTTATCTCATAGTTTTCCTTGTCCACCATTTTAGGAAACGAAACTGAGGACGAGGAAACCGAGGGGAGTGACGAGTTAGAAGGCTAGCCATTCAATTGGGGTATAAGTTTTAGATTTTATCATCCTTTTGTAAGGTTGATTTTATTCATGAGATTTTGTGATTTGGATAAGTTCCGAGCCTTGTGCATTCGTGGGGCCCGTTCACGGGTGCACGGCATCTGTCGCGCCTCGGATTCGGGTTCTGGGGCGTGACAGATATATTGACCTTTTTAACTAACATTAATTATTTGTAAGTGAAAGAGTAATGATTAGTACATTTTCTAGTTATCCACTGGTTTAGTTATTAAATTTGAATTTAAATTTAATGATAATAATTTTTTATTGAATATATGTTGTAAAATATATTAAATTAAATCAAGCATCAATTATTGTCCAAGTGAAAAATATGTACACTTCTATTTTTTACAAAATATCTCCACTTCTTTCCGAACTCCACTAGTGCATGATTTGCTTTTTACTTAATCAAATACATAAATTTAGGCCAATAAATGAGAAAAGTATTGATGAGAGATAATTTTTTAATAATTTTTTTATATAATTTTACATGTTATTTAATAATTAATTTTTTTATTCAATTGCGATTCATAATA